TGCCTGCTGCTATGAACTGCATCAAGAATTGAGAAATCTGAAGCTGATGTCTAGTAAGTGAATTATTCCATCAGTTTGCCCTCTGCCTCAAAAGTAGCCCCTAAACTACTAGAAAGTTTCTCACATGTTAGCTAGTCCATTGTTTTGACCCAAAGCTGGATAACCTGTGTCATTCCTGATAGCTGTCCCAACTACCTGTTCTTAAAATTTTCCAGTGCTACAGATGCCAAAATTCCCTCTCATATGTGTTGCAAAAAGAAATGGCAACATTATGAAAAAAACTGTTTATGAATGGCTAAAATTCGTTGAACTTTGAAACATGGAAATCATGTATGGTTTCTAGTTTAATGAGCCAAGAAAAAAATGGTAAAGGAGCATAGCCAAAAGTTCAGGGCTGTAAATACCCCATTTGACCTGCCTGCTAAGGAGTTTTATCACTAAGCCAAACTAGGCTGCAAGGCACATTTCTTCCCTGCCTAGTTTTTTAATGCTTGCCAGGTGGACCATCTAGGTTTGGGAGAAACCTTTGGTTTGTCTTAAATCACCAACTAAACTCAGACTTGCCTCCAGGTTAGACTGAGTCTTAAAAAGCAGCTAGATACTAAAACATGACTGAAATTATTTTGACAGTCCCAACCAAAGCACTCACTTGTTATGAATTCTGACATGTGGTTTATGTAGGATGAAACGCTAGTGTTAGGTGAGCTTGTGTGGAGAACTTTTATATACCAGTCTCTGCTACAGCCAGCTCTTGGCCCCAGAGACCACTAATTTAAAACATCTCAGCTTTTTCCATTCAGGATCGAGTCTGGTGAGGGGCACCAGGATCAGACACAGCCAGGCAGGGTGTGGGGACAGGCTAGGCTGGGGCAGGACTGGGACTGGGACTGGGACTGGGACAGACAGCCCCAGGCTGGGCTGAAATGGCGTCCTGGGCTACAAGTGGGGTGGGGAGGCCCCAGGTGATGCTCATCAGGGTCATTAAGGCCTGTAAGTGCCCTCAGGGCCATGAGGTCCCTTCCCAGGCAGTCAGGCTGTGGTCTGGTGTGTGTCCTGGGCTAGAGCCCTGCCAGGAGCTGTGTGGAGCAGCGCGGCACCCAGGCTGCCTCTCCTCTGTGGTGAGGCACCCTTCTTTGGGCTGGGGTCTTTGTGAGTACTCTGCCAGATGGAAAGAAAGCTCTTTGTTCTGGGGAGAGCAAAAAAGTAGTGTACCTGCCTTTCCCTTCAGCTGGGGGCTTGCACCAGACCACAGGGCTAACGCTACAACCTCGCTGGCTACTGGCTGCCGGACAGCGTGAGGACAGTGCTGCTTCCTGGGGTAAGCTGATGGTTTGTTGGGCTTTGACATGATAGAATTATAAAGAGCTCCTTGCCATTTGTGCTAGCTGATAAATGAAGTGAGCAGACAGTCTTATTTCATGTTTTGTTGGTCAGTGTCCTGATGAAAGGCAAACGTGCTATCTGTGAGCTATGTCCAGTGCAGGGAACACGAGCTCTGCTGGCAGTCAAGTTACACTGTGGCTGGGTTTGTCTCTGCATCTGTAAGGATTTACATCATGAGGATTATGCGGTTTTGGGCCAGGAAAGGAAGTATGTGGCCAAATCCTGATCTCAATTGCACGTGTGCAGCTCCCAAGGCAGTAGGGCTGCATCCTGGCTCAACACATGGCCAAATGAGGTCTTGCATGATTGCAAATACTGGGGATGGCACACTGGAGAGGAGCGAACAACTGTTCCTTGTTTTGCTGTGCTCTCTGCACTGCAGCATCTGGTTTGCTTCATCATTTTTTAAAAGAAAACCACAAATATTTTTCACTAGGGAGCTGATAAATAACAGTGCTTACATTTTTTAAAAAGTTTAGGGAGGGATAAAAGTGATTCTTCTAGTGTATAAAGTCCTTATGTTTGGATTTGAGCATTAATTCACAGATTGTCTCTTATTATTTTGTTCCCAGATCAGGAAATCCCATGGGGTATTCTCCCTCAGGAAATCACATGGGGAGATGTCTTAGCTTGATTTATTTTTATTTGTGTATCTAGCTTTGCACAGAATTGTCTTTCACAGCAGCGTTTTTTAATAGAGATTTGTATTTCTTGGAAAATTCAGTAAACTGAGTATTTAACAATTTGTCAATGAAACTTTAAATTAAATTTGTTGCAACTTTCTCGATGCACTTGATACTGTGTTGATGGATGTCATATAGTAAATTAAGTAGCTATTTTAAAGGGCCATAGTCAAAAGATTATGTTATGGTTTTTAGTCTTAAAATAGCTGCCTGAGAGAAAATGTATTCTAGCAAATGGCAGACTACATGAATAAATAGAAGCAGGGTTAGCCCGAGTCTAGTCTTAGTACTTTTCTAATACTTTGTATTTCTGTAGTACTTGCTGTTCTTGCTTCTAAATGCATGTTTCATGTGGTAGATGACAATTCTTTTAGAGAAGTAGTTCTAGCCCTTCTGTCTTTCCTAGTCTTGAGATGACAGAAAAGGTTTAAAATTATTATCTATGAAAAAGGGAATTTAAACTGTGGTGGGGTCTATGTAAGGAGAAATCTTCAAAGATTCAAGTTATGACTTCAAAGTTATGTCTGAGTAGGTACCGAGGTAAGCTCAGATACTTCTGTAATAAGAAATTATCTTTTTATATACATATATATAGTTTTCTATTGGCTCAAATACATACTGTCTTGTTTCAGAGTTTAAGTAAATGTCAGTTTATTGTATTGTTGCTTATCTATCATCATAAATAATCAAATGAATTTACAGAGCAAAGGGATGTACTTGTCTCCCTTGTCTGCATAACATTTAATTTTAAGATTAGACATACCAGGGAGGTCAACAACAAAGCAGGGGAAACAAGGTACACATGTGAATGGGAAGAGGACAGAGAAATTGCAGAGCTTCGCTCTGGTGTGGCTCTGTCTCTGTCAACTCCATATAACTGTGCTTTCACCTGGAAGAACAGAACAGGAAAACCCTGCTTCTTCCAGAAATTGGTGGCATAAGCATGGGAAAGTGGTCACCTATTCTCCTGCAAAGAGAAAGTGGCTTGCAATACTTACCTATTTGACAGATGTATCTGCTTGGTTGGTTGGGATGGAGACTGCTGCATTTTTACCTTGCTTTATGGTTACATGCTGATGGTGGGCTCTGAAGGGGGTATTTGGAGTAAAATGCTGTCTGTCTGAAGTTTTGAGCAATTTTTTTAAATGACAGGGTTAGGATTGGACCTTTCAAATTTTACTGAAATAATGTGATTAAATCAAAGCCAAGATTCTAATAACATTAAAGAATACCAAGGCAGAGAACCTTGTTTAGGGAACCACAACAAAAAAAAGTGTTATACCTAGATAAAGAGAAGAGTAGATTAATTGGAAGATGCGTATGAAGTGGAGAACAAAAATAGACCATGAGATCTGTCCCTTTTCGAAATGAGAAAACAGTTGTAATAAATGCACCCCCTCCACACACACACACGCTCCCCACCCCCAAACCAACCAAGCAAAACTCAAAAGATTCCCCTCCACCCTCGCCATTTCACTGATGATTTTTCAATATTGCTTTTCTGCTTTAAACAGTTAAAGTAGTATTGCAATCTAATTGCTGCAGGAATGTTTTCTGATTTTTTTTTTTTTTTTTTTAATAGATTGGTGACAAGAGAAGGACATGATCCTTGTGATGATGGGTCTGAAACATGGTCCTTGTTATGAAGAATTGTAAAAGTTTTCTGTTTTATGCAAGCCTTGTTGTATGAGCTTTAAAACGAAAAACTTTTTTAGATTCCATGACTGAGTAGAAATAATTTTTAGCTACTGTGAGAAGGGTGTATCTTTGTTTATATCATGGTACAAATGTTGTTGAAGTGCCTGAGAGGCTTTGTGCAGACTCAACTTTATTACAATACTGACTTTTTTTTTAATAACATTTATCTTTCTGTCAATATTTCTGGCTGAATTTATGAAAATGGTTTCACAACTCTTTTCCTCCAATAATTCCTTCACTGTGATTGGATTGTATATTTTCCATTGTTGCACAGTATAATGTAAGTACTCGGTACTGAAGTGCATATTATTACTTCAAAAATTCTGACTGCATGACAAGTATTAATTACAATTTTAAATAATTACATAAGTCTCCTATTCTACAGTGGGAGCTTTGGTGAAATGCTGGCACTGGATAATTAGCTCGTGCTAATCTATGTGTTCAGTTTTGGTTAGTCTAAAGAAGATCTGATGTTTCCTTTCCTGAAATAAACAAAACCAGCTACTGCACTGTAAGAAAATAACAGTAGTTCTTAAGGACTAATCATTACCAGCCTTTTCATGAGGTTGTAATTGTTTCATGAATTCTGCTTCAATCAGGGAAAAATATGCTTAAGTGCCGATAAAAGTTTTTATGCTGCTATGATTTCCTCCTGCCTCATCTTCCTCCTCCCAATTTATGGCTTTATTCCACTGTCTCTGTTACTAAGCAACACTGTATATGGTTTTAATGCAAATTATTTCAAACTCTTTGACAGTGAGGCAGAATAACATTGGGTTAATTTCCTGATTAATATATGTTACAAAGAAGTGCTGTGCACTACAAAAAACAAAGATGATGGCTAGAAAGCTGCCTCATAGCATGAGGAAATAAAGTTGGTTGTTTTTTTAAAAATTTGTTTTCTAGATTGTCTTGTCTATATTTTAAAACAGCCTTTCCAAGCAGATGGATCAATTGCTTCTTGGTTCTGTTGTTTTGACTTGATGTGTTCTGTGTTAAGATGCCCAGATGATTGCACAGTGTATATGTTACGATGATGCGCATATTTTTCTTGTGGTTGCATGTTATATTTTTCATCTCTATGCAAGAGGAGATAGAATCATAGTTCAGATGCTATTTTTGCTCCATTTCCAAAATTGATGGTAGCATGTGAGACTTTTTAGGACTTTGTTATCTTTTCATTCAAGCCAATAGTAAAATCCAGCTGATGTCAGTGTGAACAGGATTCAACCAGTGTTTGTACTTGTGTGATAAATTTATTTTGCACGCCACAGTACCACTCCCCATATTCTTAAAGCTCTTCAGTATTATGCATTACAGGTGATTGAGTATTTTTCTCTTTTTTTCCATAATCTTAAAAATGCAAAGTCTCATTTAACAGTATAGTAATTATAATCTTGTCCATACAGCAATACCACTTTAGATGGAAATAAAACAGATTTCAGTACAGCACTACAGATATCTTAAGAGTGGTGTTTAGACTGCAGTGTTTGCTCACAGGAACAATTGTGACAGGCTTATGGCCATCGTTTGCAGAACTGCTTTGACTTGACTTCTCTAATTAATGGCAATGCTTACTATTACAAAGTGAAATTTGAAAGTCAAAATGTAGAATATCAAAGGGTGTAAAGTGTAATTAAATGCATGTTTGCAACTTTGATTCCTGCAGTGCCTGAAGATTTACACCTTTCAAACTGCCTGAAGTAATGTTGAGCCTTGAGACTTCTGCTTTTTAGATAGGCTCTTAGTTTGAAATCTACCCATTTTCAATGTAATGAAAGTAAGTGTAATGCAGATCTAGGAACCACATCCTCATTGACCTGTCTACAAATATATCTTGTACTGTGTATTTTTAAATTTTTTTCCCTTTGTTAAAAAAAAAAAAAAATCTCCTGTTATTTAGGGGCTCTCTGAAGAAGAAATACTGAAAATCCTGTAAAATGCATAGTCAGCAGAATGAACAGTAAACCAAAAATCTAGTTTAAATTCTAAAATAATGTTCAAATCATGATTCAAAACTTGTGCATAAGAGTGTTTGTTTGTTTTCAAATTTCTTAGAGACCTCCTGAGAGAATTGCACTGTGCTTTTGGGAATTAAAGCATTTCCCAAATTTAAAGCATATAGAGAAAGTCTTAGAATCCTTTGTTTTCTGTGAAAACACACATTTAAAAACAATGTGGGATTAACACAGTTATGGAGCGTATCCTTAGTACTGTCCCATGTGTTTTTCTCCACTGTTATGGTGAACTTAACAACTATGCATGAAATACTCTCTGTGGGTTAGGAGAAAAACATATAGTAGAAAAAACAAAAATTAAATGTAGACATGGCTAATTAAATACAAGGCTTTGCCAAATTAAAACAAGCCATAATACATTTTAGTGCATATTTGCAGCACGCTGGAATGCAGCAGTGGCACATATATATAGTATGTGCTAGATGACAGTCACTATTATATATTATCAGCAAATGCAATAATGCAGGCATTGCAGGTATTTCATTGTAGGTGAAATTTAGGGATGTGCCTATCCACAGTATTTTTTTCCAGGATGTCATTGACTCCATGGCTGTATTGGGCCAGAGAAGTAAACTTTATTTGCAATAAGTGAAACTGGATTCCATTAATGTGTGCTGAGGACACTAATATTCTGTGCAAGTTGGAATGTCGGGGGTGATGATCTGCTTGGAGCTGGAATTTATGGAGCTTTGCAGTGTTGATCAGCTTCTCCTGTGACATAAACATCAATCAAATTATATCGCAGGAGAAATAAATGCACAATCTATCACAGAATAACCTTGTAAAAATATTTGAATTAACTTGGCAGAAAATTTAGCCTTTAAACAAACAGCTCCAAGATAAGCAGTGAAGCGTAAGAAAAATTTTATCTTGCATTTAAAGTCTGCAGTCATCTTTTGGGCTAGAGGCAAGAGGTCAAAATTGGAATATGCTTTTAGGTTTTTTTTTTTGTTTTGTTTTGTTTTTTAAATGTACTATATACTTTTCTAGTACATTGACTGTATCGTGATTCAGTTCCACACTTAAATCCAATGCATACTTGTGAGTCAGAGTAATGAATGTTGATGTTTTGGCACTGATCTGTCAAACTCTTGAAACATACTTGATATGATTTGAGTCTCACAAGAAAACTGAAGTTAGATGCTTAAAGAGACCATAGGAAAAAGAATTATAGGAGCATATCCCTTGGTAGAATATTATCTAGACTTGAGCTATAAGTACAGTGTATTTTTCCAATAAACATTTGAAGTTTTCTTTAATTAACAGTCATAAACTTTGATCAAAACAAAATTATGTGCAACTTCAGAATTTCGAGGGCATGAGCTGTACAGAAAATGTGCGTTTTCATTTAGAATCCAGTGTTCTTGTCAGACTCACTACTTTGTTCTGCTACCTGTGTTGGGAGTTAAAGCTAAAAACACAGTCACTTGTAGGTTTGGTGAGAAACAAAACTTGGAAGGAACCACCTAACCATATGTTGCAAAGACTAAGTTAAACCAACACTTATTTATTGTGGATTGTTTAATATTTTCAGTATTTCAAAATACAATCAGTCTGATACAGATGTTTCTGTGAAAAATGCTTACTTTTTTTGCACAGTTATGTTAGACAGAAACCTGTCTAAAATATGATAAATTTTTCTGAGAGCAGTGCATACCTACTGTCTATTCTTATATAAAAATTATAGATGACAGTATAGAGAGCTATCATAGATAAGGAAATTCAAGAATACCAGAAATATAATTTTGCTGGATTTAACATGTGTACACTGCACTGTATAGTACAGTCTAGTATATAAAGTATGCCTTTCTGCATGTTTCTTTACATCTCTAGCTAGAGTAATCATATCTCAAAACCCAGGCTGAACATTATCAATTCTCTAATAGGTATAATGCCATCTCATGTACACTTATTTATGACCTGTCTTTGAAAGGTATCCTGCAAATCATACACTTTCCCTCACTTTATAGGAGCTCTTATACAGAAAGAGGGCTTTGGGTCTGCAAATTTTTATCATGCTTAGAGATTTTAGTGCAGTGCAAAACTGAATTCTTAAAAGCTTAAAAGAGCTATTTAAATGAATTAAAACTTGTGAAAACTTATTTTAGATTCTTTACGATTTCATAGCTGCTCAGCAAAATTAAATATACACAGCACTACTACAATATATATTTTTGTGAAATTATGTTTGGTTTGGTTTCTGATTTGTTTTTTTTTTGTGTGTGTATTTATATATCCTGTGATAAACAAAGCATGAGGAGGAGTTCAGGCTAGGTAGGCAAACCTCACGTAGGTCTATATGCAGTGCAGTCTTCCTTTCCTGGGTATATAATTATCTGATGGGTTTCTAATGCATAATTTAACTTCTTTTCTGAAAGAAAAGTCAATAGTGACAAATCAGCTGCTAATATCTTATATACATCCATTGACTAAAACATTTCTGATTATTCATTTAACTTCATAAAAATGGCTGAGTTTACATTTGCTTGAGAGTATTAGTTGGAGATACATGAAAGTCTGTGTATGTGTGGGGTTGTTCCTCACTCGTAAAATCTTTCAGTATTTCCTTTTCTACTTTTTTGCTTTCTTATTTTCAATGAGAGAGACGCTTTTTTGCTCACGTTGGTTTAAAGCATTTAATGGCAGGGTGAAATATCTTCATGGTTTTGTATTTGTTCAGCAACAGTCTTTGCTTTCCGCCCCATTCTGACAATTTTTCACTTTCTGATTAGGCTGTAAAGCTCCAAGGGATCACACGTGTCCCTGTGTGTATGCCACCTCCTGCACCAGGGCCTGTGCTCAATTGTAGCCTCACAGCACTGCCAACATATAAAGCTGAGGAATAATTAAAATACATAGAAAATAAGTAAGTTATTCAGTAGATAAGCAATAAGAATTTAATAGGCCTAGCCTTTAACTGTTTTTTCCTATTTTTTCTAGTGTGACACTATATAACAGATTATGAAGTGGAGTTTACTAGGGATATGAATGGTTAAATTCAATTTTATTTTCATACAAATTCAAAATGAAAATGTGTCATCCATTCTACCATTCTTTTGGGGAAAAAAAAAAGCACCTATCCTCTCTTATTATGCTGGAACCTGATCCTGTTTCCACTCAAGCCACCTTACAATGTGGCACTGTTTAGAAACACCAAAGTTTATTCTAAATAAGTGGATATATTTACACTGAATACACAGCTACAGGCAGCCTGAGTCTGGCTTTTCAGGGCCATGATTCATAATATAATCCTTTATTTGACACAATATTCTGGGCAAATCTGTCCCTATAATTTAATTTAGTTTTGAAAAAGTTAAGCCTAAATTCTGCTTCAAAATATAACCTGTATATAGGAAAATTAGTAATTTGGTAAGTATCCACTCCAAGGAAACTATTAGCTTAGCCAGTTCTGGAAAATGCAAGTGAACTACTGAACTGCTGCTCTACATGTGATTTTGGAGCTAGCCAGCTATCCTTTCCACTATAAATTGCAGACACAGCCTGTTCATCTCAAGAGTTTAGGGGGAGCTGGATTAGATTTTGAATTAAAAGGAATGAGGATTGATGGTATAAAATATTACAGCATTAAATAGAAATATTTTGGTAAAGATGGTATTGACTAAGATACATAGCTATAGATATAATAGTGTAGTACTTACAATAATACAGAACATATCTTTTTGTTTTTGGTGGACAGCAGTGGAGATGACTTTCACAAAGACATCTATTGACAACATGTATGTTTTTAATAATACTTCAGACAATAAAAGTTCTTATGTAATAGTAGTAAACTTCTACAGTATAAAACTATCTCTATTGAAATAGAAAACATTGACATCCACCACTTCACAGAGTATGACTGCACAAAAGTATTTAAAACAAAATATCTAGTTCTTGTTGCTTAATATACCAAACACTTAAAGCTGCCTGCCATGGCACTAGTCCAGTAAAAAGATCACACAGTGCTCTTATCAAACATGATCTGTACCTATTTCTTGTGTGTCTAGCCACATTTGCAGAACTCGCCAGTGACAGTGAGCTTGACAGCTCTGCCATTAACATTGAGGATTTGTTAGTTCAGCCTTGGTAGGGAGGTCGATGTTGAAGTGGACTTGACTGATAAAACAGCCTCATCACTTTGCATACGAGCTGGTAGGATGGTGTTCTGGGCAAGCCTGTAACATGGTGCAGAATAGCAGAGCTGGAGACCCTGACCTTGTGAGTGGGGTAAGAATGGTTTGATATGTTCCAAACTGAGCTGGATGTTATTTTAGAAACTTAAAAGAGCCTCTCAAAACTTTCTGGGAGATTTTACTATTCTACTGAAAGATTTATTCTTAAATTCTTCTTTATTTTTGCAAAAGATTAAAAAAAAAAAAAAGTATTTACATCTAACACTAAATATTTCCAAAATCAGCAAGTCCCTGCTCCAGGTCTTCTTCTGCCCCCTCAAATCTACAAATCTGAAGTATTTGTTTCTCATTTTCATGGCAAATTTCTCCCTGGAAATAGTTGCACTTCAGTATACTTAGAAGGAAGTCAGTAAGATAAATCATGGCTGAAGCTATGCAAGCAAAACTGAACCAGACTTGGGAATCCTGCTATATTCTCTGCTGCTGTCATAGTTTGCAGTAGGTGATGAAAATCATCACCTTAGTAATTCTGGTAAGGGATGTCTTCTGGCCTCGTACTTACTCTGCAACCTCTTGATTAACACTGTAAACATGAGGACATTGTTCAACTGAGAAGCCAGATTAATTCTCACTGTATCTGTAAAGCTTTTGTTGGAATTTGGGCTGACTGGTGCAGATTATATAGTATGCTTTAGGACAGGCATATAATGGGCAAGCAAGTAGAGAGTAGAGCATGAAACATGAGCCACATGAATTACTATCTCACAATAAATAGAAATAAATATTATGCATGTACATGTCAAACATAATGTGATTTAGTAATTATTCTGCCAGCAGAAAGGAAGTATTAATTCAAACAAGTCAACAGAATATAATTGTCACAGGAGTTGTGATGCCTGTATTTAGGGCTATATGCTGTCCCTCCTCACACCAGGAGAACACAGGGACAGAGTTTGTCAAGTATTTTACTTTGGTTACCCTGAGAATGAAAAGCACTTTGGATACACCTTTTAAAAATAACATAACAGCATACTACTGATCTTAATTGTCTTTGTGCTCTTTAAGATAGTGAGAATTTGTTCTTAAACATATATAACTAGTTCTTATTTTGATATTAAGAGGGCTCAACCCCAAAATGGCGAAGTCATACAGAGCCAGATCTTACTTCCTCCTCTTCTGTTGGCAAGGAGTAGGTTCTTGTACGAAAGGATTGTCTGGCCATCTCTTCCCTGCCCCTCAGTAGGGCCCCTCCAGCCGGGGCTGCCCACCCTGCGCTGTCACACTGCTGCCCGGCGTGCCCCACGCACACAGCTGCAGCACAGTATTTTCAGCAAGTAGGTGGGCAGGGGAGCATAAAGCTCAGCAACAACCTGTTTTGCAGCACCTGCATGGGTTGCAGCGAGGTGCGTGGTGGAAGTGGTGTGGGTGTGCTGAAGGAAACAGGAATTCTTTGGTTTGCTGTCAGTTGGAGGCTTTGTGGGGATGCCTGAAACTGCAGGATGTGGCTGTACAGATAATCCCCCTGTGCTCCAGAAGAACTCTGCTGCTGCCTGGTGAGAGTTGCTGGGGAATTTTAACTCTATACTTTTCAGTAACTATCGATTTTTTTGGTTTTCCCTGGTTTTTTTTTGTTTGTTTGTTTGTTTGTTTGTTTTTTTTTTTTAATTTAAGGAAACAATCCATTATATTTGGCAACCGATGGTCATTTTCCTACCCCTTAGGAGAACAAAAATTTCCCAGCATTATTTAACAGCGACTTTGCCCTCCACTTTCTTTGCCTGTCAATTCGAGGTCAGGCTTGCCTTCAAAGCACGCCAGCTGCAACCCCTTTCTACCTTCAGCAATGCAGCTGAATGGGTGTGCTCATGCTTTTCCCCGTGACGAAGGTAGGCACAGGTGGCACCAGCAGCCTAGGGTACACAGCCTCTTAAAAACACAGGATCTGGCATGAAATGGTCAAATCAATGACCAATGGTTTCTCTTCCATCTTCTGGTGTAATACTGTAATTTTTATCATTCACAGTCACTACTAATTCTGCTTGGTGATAAATGATTTCTTTCAGCTAATTACTTTGTTATCACTTGTGTAAATATGCTTTTATTTTTATTTTTATACATTATATAGATATTTATTCTCTTTTGGATGGCTCTCATAGTAATGCAATTGATGTTTTGCAAAAGAGCTACCTATTGTGGTCACTGGGGACACTGGATTTCAGTGACCAAAGGGATCAGCAGGTTATGAGGAAATGCTTGCTTAGCCCCCGTCAGGGAAGTTAACTGCCTCCCAGACGGACAAATTTGCATTTCATTTCTGCAGGAGTTTTGCCACAGGTCAGGAAGCAGGGAAATATTGCTGTCTCTAACAACTTTTGAAATGAAAAACAAGTTTGTGGCTGCATCCAGCAGGTGGCAAGCACAGCACACTGAATTATGTCTGAGACAGAGCTGCTTCTGCCAGGGGAAGCTCCAGATGCAGCTCAGCATGTGCACATGTGTACACAAACAAAAAATCGTACAGCTAAATGGCAAGCTCTGTCAGTCCTTCGTCAGCTTACTGAGTGCCGAGGCAGTGGTACTGTTCTGGACCTATTTATAATGCATGGGATTGACATACTCATTTTTAACGAACGGCTGTCTCGCATGTAAGGATAGATATAAGCCAAATATAAAGCATTCTATATAATTTAACTATGTCTTTAAACGATACATTCAGGTTTCAAATTTTGAGATACTAGCTTTCAATTAAATTAACTTAAAGCTTTAATGTAAGAGCATTTTTTTAACATACAGCATTATAAGTTTTAGTGAATCCTCACGGTGCCTTGTGACATGTGTAAGGGGAGATTGTTCCCATTTTGCAGATGGAAGAACAAAGGCAAAACTGAAGAAACTTGCTTTAAAATAAGTAAATGAAAAAGAGCAGGAAGAGGCACAAGACTCCCAGACCTAGTTGTAATCCTGTTTTTTCTTAAAAATTATTAAACTACAGAAATAACTTTTCTTGTTGTGAAGTAATTTCCTGAAGTAAAAAAATAACTTAAAATACTTGTGTACATACAAGAGACTGATAATCAGAAAATACAGTTAATCCAACCACTTTCTACCTGAGACAAAGCTATATTAGATGTATAATTTTGAAAATTACGAATATTGCAAATTCTCAAGGGTCATGTAATTATCTACATGATATATGTAAAGTTTTGGAATCTTTCTTAAGTTTCATTATGTCAAAAAGTATTTATGAACTCCTTTATCTTTGCAGACAGTAAATGAGTGTGAATCAAGAATAAGTATTTTCTGGAGTACACTACTTCAGGTTAAAAGAACATATTGAGGATATCATTAGTTGAAACTTCATTCAGTGCTTATCACCTTCCCCCCCCTCATTTGTATGGACAGTTTGAGCCAGACTTTTGTTCTGATTTATGCTAGTATAAATTTGAATTTGTTACATACACACAAAAAAGTTTCTACAGGGAACAAATATTCTAGACTTAGTTATGCATAAATGGAGAGAAATTCCATAAAAGCAAAGAGTAAAGTTTGGTCTTGTACGTTTTGTGATGTTACTAAAAGCATTATTAGTTAAACTGTAATGTAAGAATTGTCACATTTTTGCTTATCAGAATGTGAATTTATTAAATGTCCAAGAATTTGAAAAATAGAGTAATTTGATTAGGTGGTAACTTCTCTCATTGAGTGGTTATTATACAAAAACAGTTTGAAGTTTTTTTGATCACCTCTGTCCAAGGACTCATGTTTTCAAATACAGAATTTGACTTTTAGTCTCAGAGTATGGAGTCAACCCCCTCCATAAGTAATATACTTCAAAGTCAGTGTGGCACATTATGTGGAAAAGTTGAGTGACTCCCATTTTTGTGTGTGTATACATAATTTTTTAAAACTACTATAAAAATACCCACTGGGATATAAATGTACATTTATGAAGCAATGTTTGAAATTTATGAAGAGGAATATAAATCTAAAAATATATTTATTCTATATTTAATAAATAAATCTGCATTTTATTGCATATATTATTATGAAAAGATTGCCACTTAAAAATGAAAAATATTAGCATAAATCAGAATGAGACCAATTTCAGGGACCTTAAATTTCCATTCGAGTTTAAAATTGGGCCTCTCTATATTGCATATATTTGAAAATATATTATAAATATGATGATATTTACATCTTAAAAAAAAAAAAAAACCACAAACAAAAAAACCAAGCAGCATAGCTCCATCAGCTCCTTGAACAAAATTTGGAACAGCTCATGTATGTGCAAAACAGGTCCTTTATGTAATTTATACAAGCTTTTCCTTTAAAAACACCTCTGAACTTAAGTTAGGGGTTTTCTCTACGCTTCTTTTGTAGTTCTGAGTAAACGGCAGGATGCTGACAGAAAGTCTGACATGCCTGTCCACAATTTATGTTGTTTTCAGTAAAGAAAAACAAAATGAAAACCAAGCAGTCCTCTTCACAATGCAAAATAAAAGTCCACTGCTAAATTTATACAGTATGATTTCTCCGAGGTCATCTAACATTTCTGTAATGAGCAGTAAGCTGTGATGGTCAGGACTGCAGACAAATTTTGCCATTCTTGCTGCTTCATTCACAAGGTTGTTCAAAAGAAGTACGTTGCAAAACACATCACTCAGTGTCAAAAGACCCAGCAGTCTTTTTAGTGTGCAAGTGTATATTTTCTGACGGCCGATATGAGAGCGAGCTCATCTTTGTTGTTAGGCTTGGATGTGTGCTGACGTTTGGTGGAATGTATTTTACTAGCTGAAGGAAGTATTTTTTAAAGTTTTTTCCAAAAAAAACATAAAAAAAAGGATTCAAACAGTTGTTAAAGTAAGCAATGCAAATGGTGAAGGGCATAGCCGTATCCACAATATCAGTGATTTTGCAATCTGTTATTACATGTAATTGAATTAGTACGTCAAGAAAAGTGAACACTTGATGAGGAATCCAGGAAAAGAAGAAGAAAAATACTATTGCCACAATCATCTTAAAAATATCATCATTTCTAGTCTTACTTTTTTGAATTTGATAAGCCTTCTTTAGGGTCTTCCAAATTAAAGTGTAGCTTGTCAATATGATCAGAAAAGGAATTAAAAAGCCCAGCAAATTTTTGGATAAACCCAACCCGACGCGGAGCGTTGTGTTATTGTTGTCATACCGAAAACCGCAGACTGTCATGTTCAAGTTCTCAGCAAAGAATATATTACGGTGAATGATAACGGGCAAACTGGCCACACCGGCAAGAAGCCAGATGGCAATGCAGGTTATTCTGGCAACAAACATGGTACGTCGAATACGGGACTTCACTGGATGTACTATGGCCAGGTACCGGTCAATACTGAGGCAAGTGAGGAGGAACACGCTGGCATACAGGTTGAAACTTATCCCTGCTGATGCTAACTTACATAAACAGTTGCCAAAAGGCCACTGGTACTCCATGGCTGTGTAGGCTGCCCAGAGTGGCAGAGTTATTAAGAAACACAAGTCAGCCAGTGCCAGGTTTAGAAGGAAGATGCTGGCTACTGTTTTTAATTTCATGTAGCAGTAAATGACAATAACGACCAGGCTGTTCCCAAAAATGCCTATGATGAAGATGATGCTGTAAACAGTTGGAACCATAATGTAGATGTAACTGTGCCTTCCTGAAACGGGACAGTCGACGTGGATTCTTTTAATGGTTTCTTCAGTAGAGTAATTTGGAATCATCTTGATCTCTTCAGATGTAATTTAATTTCAGGGAGAAAAGATGAACTTCGCACCTAGGAGGGGAAAAGACGAAGGAAATATTCATGACAGGGATTTAATTTTTAAAAAGTTTCAATTAAATGTCAGGTTTTTGTCTAACACAATGACTCAATGTCTTTGACTTTAAAAATAAGCCATCTTCAACTGTTTCCTCAACCAATTTCTAATGTAACATAGACTTACTTTGCAGAATAAAACAGAGGAAGGAATGTTAGGAGTTGGCTGAACATTGTCAGATTCTTTTTAACATAAATGAAATCTAACAAACATCTTTCAATTAACAAGATTCCAATTTAGATAAGACCGGTTAGTGAACATATGTCATAAAAATAACAACAGAGATTCAAAATAGCAGATAACTATAAATTCAGGACAGTCTTTAGGCTATTTTCTTTCTATAAATAGGTGATATATCTAATGAGCAAATTTATTCAGATATCTCAAACTACACTTGAGCACTCTGAGTACTAGTTCATTCTGTAAATTCAAAGTGTAATGCAATAAGAAAATAAATGAATTCAGATTCGGTACTCACTTTGATTTCTGATGTGAATCACTAGAATTGTTTTTCTATACATTCAGCTTCATTCTTTGTGACAATTTCTACATCACAAAGAAAGATGAAGACACTCACACAATTTAGCGTTCTGTTTTACTATAAGTACCTTAAATATGAAGACGTTACCTAGCTCCTTGTCTTGCTTGTAGCTACAGTATTTAACTACTAATGGGGGGGGGGGGGGGGGAAATCAGTGAAAATCCAGACATGTACTGATTTGTTGCACATTAATAACTGTAGAAAGAGTTTAAGAAGGGTGTAAGGGGGAATGAGAATTCATATTACCTTTTCAGTTACTGACAAAAATTTATGTATCCGAGTTGAAGCTGTAGTTTTAGTGTACAGAAACCATTTCTGGCCTGTATTAAGTGTATGGCAATAGTATGAAATCTCCTTTATAGGGCACCTGTTTGGTTTGACAGGGTTTGTGTGTTCTGCAAGAAGGATTTCCTTATTAATGACTTGTGACTTTAGGAAGCAGGTAATATGCTGTGACTCTGATACTAAAATCTTTTCCAGAGTCTACAAATAGATAGTCTGCCCTCAAAGATAGTGGATATTTAAAAAAAAAAAAAAAAAAAAAAATTAGTACTTATTATTGTAGAGTAGTGCTTATTGCTGTCTGCAGGATCCTGACAGCTGTCAGCCAGACCCAACTTGTGCTGCCTCAAACCCAGATTAAGTGAAATATATTTGCTTTAAAAAACAAACTGAAACAAAAACCCCCCAACAAACAAAACCCTTATAAATGTAAGTCACTTTTATATAGATAAATATGCACACCCTAAGACCCTGGGCAGTACAAATGCATTCAGAAAGAAAAGATGCCTGTCATTATAGAAATATGGGCTATGTTGCTACGGAGGTGGTTGCTCATTGTTTGCATTGTTCAGCACTGACGTTCCTGTTAAGTGCAGAATGCTACTCTGTTAAGTGTTTGACATGCTCTTGTTGGGATACAAACCTTATTCCAAATGGATTGCCTTTTTAATAGGGAAGTGAGGCACAGATAGGTCTTGGCAAAGCCCACACAAAAAGCCTGAATTGGAGCCAGGAACTGAGCCCAGAATATAGGTTGCAGGCAGCATCTTGTAAGCAAGGGCACCCTTTGGCTCTCAATTTATTACCTTTTAAAAGACTCAGTATTTCTCTATCTTAGCTCATGTTCTACTATATGTTTGCACTAATAAGCTGATTCATTTCCATAAAGCTAGTAGGGTAATTTTGAGATTTAGGTTCTTGATAACTCTATAAAGTTTGGAATATCTAGTTAAATGCAACTAAGAAACCCTTTGTCAAGATGTACAACGAGACACCTTTTGGTCTCTCCGATTAATTCCATGAATTAATCTTGTTGCCTCAGTTGGTACAGATGCTTTGAAATGACATCAGCTATTTTTTGCCATGTCTAAGAAGTTAAAAAGTCAAGCAAATACAGCAGACACAAAGAAATGTACACCATTCTGATCACATGTGGCACTGTAATACATCGTGAGTAAAACTTCCTGGCTTTCAAACTCTGCCAAATCTAGAATACATGGTGTTTGGCTCTGTGGAAGGTCATACTATCCATAGGACAGGGAGAACCGCAATAAAAAGATTTCAAGATAAATCCCCTTATCTCATCCCATGGTTGTGAAAGTGCCCAAGGAGATTTGACAGTAACTGATAGGTTTTGCAACATCAAGGTCTGGCAGTATTTGCCCTGTCCCAGCTACATGCTGGTGCTGCGTGATCTATTCATTACCAGATCCTTTGCCCACTTATACACCCATTGAGATTACAGCCCAGAATTTAGCAGTAAGAAGCTGTAGGGAAGTCTCTACTTGAGAAAATCAATACTGCAAGTCATGCTTGCAGTAATGATCGGGGCCCAGTTAAGGCTGAGCAAGACCTTCCTCTGTGACTAGCTTCATCAATTGGTGGTAGTATTTGGCAAGTGCATCCTGCTGTGTGTGTACCAACTGGCAGATTCAGCGGCTAAGACAAATGTAGCTGATGGTGAATATTCCCGCTTTGATGGGATTGTTCCGGTGCAGTGGTAGATGCCAAGGCACCTTTCTCACAGTCACTTCATCCACCCCTTCAGTGATTGTTTAACTTCCAATTTCCCTTTTCTACCTGCATGATGGCCTGTACCTTTTCATGCCAGTAGCAGCTTTAGTTGATGTAATTCATAGAACGTGTGCTTTCAAGAAAGTGTAATAATGATTATATTAGGTTTTCAGAAATGTGTTAAAAAAAAAAAAAAAAAAAGTTGGGGAACTTGTGTCTGGTGCTCTAAGGTATTGAATTCCCTGAGCTTATTTTGGAGTGCTTGGTAAGTAAAAAAGGCAGAACAATTCCCATGAAGAATCAGGAATTTGATCAAGAAATAGTATGATATTTCATTTTCTCTGTGTAAGACTGTAACCCTTCTGGAATTAAAGGTTTTGGTGTAACACTGAAGTGAGTGGAACTGTGCAAGTGATGTATTCGGTATGTTATCAGTTTTGAATTATACTAAAAGATGACAAACAATAAAGAAATCCGTATCAGTAAAAGAAAATGAACTAGAAATAGATAATGTGGTTGCATTTGGATAAACAGACATGGATTCCCATATGTACATCTGAAAACAGCTTGAATGTTGCTGTGAGAATGAACCTCACAAAAGCCTTACAGTTAAAGCACAGCGAGGAAGGCACTGCTAATCCCGAACTGAATTTTTAAATTTATTGGAAATTTTAAAGTTTCAGAGCTAGCCTCGGGTAGATCTGCTGCATTGAGGACATCAATAATTTTAGAGCATCAGGAAAAGCTTCAACACAGCAGAGGAAAGTCATGTTTTGTAAGGCATGGGCCCAGAGCAGTGCTGAGTGGTGAGACAGGGCAGCTGTGGTGGTGTAAAGTCCTTACAGGCAGTGATTTCTTTGCTGTACCACTGTAATTTTTGCTGTTATTCTCACTTGCCACAGTTCACCTGCTTGTCCCAGGATCATGGTAATATACATTTTATGCAAAGCAGATACTTCTACATGGGAAGTACTGAAGATTGTTTAAAAATGTTACAGAAATAGATGGCTGATACAGCTTTTATGCTGCTAGAATTCACTGGAGCAGGTTAAACCACTGGCCAGTTAAATGGAAGTATTGAAACTGTGCACATTGATAATTCCATTTAAAGCATCTCAAATGACCTGTGTTAACATAATGATAATTGGATCATTTTAAGGCTGATACACAAGGAGCTTTTTCTAAGAGGATTGAATTGATGTGCCTGTGAATGGTGCAGCAACATCAATCTGAAAGCAAATTATCTGGTGAGCAGCAAACCCCTGTTGTATGTTACTGTCCTGTTTGACCTTTTATCTTTTTTAATTACAATTATTATAATAAGTCACTGATAATGAAATGATTCAGACTGCTCTACCAACTATTATTTACCACTCCATTCATTGTTTCTGTTGGGTGAGTATGCATCCTAATTAAACTGCCTGTGGAAACAACAAGGAATGCTGAGCCCATGCAAGGTAAACAGCACTTTGCCTACTGAAAGATAAGATAGCACTGACTGGCTTTCTGTGAGAACTTGATGGGCTATAAATAGGTAAGCAGGTGTCACAAGTCAGACTTTAAACTAAACTGTGGTTTTGATGTTTGCTCTGACAAAGGCTAAATAAACTCAGGATGACCAACCCTGACACAGTTTAGCTACCTCACCATTAGGTAATGTGAGGGTTTTTTTTCTTCTGATGGTAGGTGGATTATTTGCTTTTCTTCAAATTAGAAGACATTTACATGTTTAAGGGGATGATGCATTCTCTTTTTATATAAAATTATTGCACAGGGAGAAGAGAAGCTGAAAAATGTTTGGAACAGTATGTTCAATATATTAGCTATTTTTCTTTCTTTCTAGTGGCATTTTTCCTTTTTCTTGAGAGTTTAGTCCCCCCCTTTCCTATTTTCTTCTTTTTCTAATTGCTGAGAAACTAATGACAGCCTTTTTTTTCCCCTATCCAGCAGAACAACCCTATCTTTATTGCCTTAATAAATGGAACTTCTTCTACTTCATATACCTACTTCAGCATCTTCTCTATTTTCCTGAAGTTCCTAAGCTTTGAAGCCACCATGAAGCCATACATTCACCTATCTCCTAGCTCTGATTTCTGCTGCTCATTCTAACAGTCTGTATTCCCCACTCATGGCTTTCCTCAGTATTTTTAGTCCAGAGTTGATAGGTGGATTGTGGAGGGTGAGAGAAATGCAAGTACTTGGGCAGATAAAGGCACACAGTTTGAACTGTGGCCTTGCAATGTGCACAGGCTTCCTGTTATTTCTGCCACTTTCTTCCACAGAGGTCAGCGTCTGACCTTACAGTAAATGACAATAAATTAAAATATTACTGAAATAGAATTGTAATAGGCAGTACAGGTCTGCAATACTGTACATCAGTTCATGAGCATCAAGAACAGA